TGTCCTCGACTAAGCTTGTTATTGTCGGAGTTAGTACCACGTCACGGGCACTAATTAGAAGAATGATTTGACAAATGGAGAGGTCAAGCATAGGTCCGACACAACTTTCTATTTTAAAAACCAAACAAAAATACTAACAATTACCGTTGTTGATTCCGTTTATTGTTGTTTAGAATTGATAGTTATCAGTGGAACGGTGGGAGTGTAGAGAATGCAAAAATCTCCGCCGTTTCATCAAATGATAGTACCTATTACCTTTTTTATGGAAATAAACGGTGTTTGTTTTCTCGATCTTTTCTAAACGTATAACGACGTATATAAACGTTTGCAAATCTATTTTAGCTTTGCCATTCCGAACAAAGGTAAATATTTCATTTCAAAGAAACCGAGTCGTGAGCTAAGGTTTGTTTACTAGTTATGCCACTTAAATTTATTTAGTAGTAAAAGGTGATCTTGCAAGCGAGAACCATTTTGTTTGAGTTATGATTGCTCTAGAATATAGTGATCTCCTAGTACGGTTATGGTACTTGGAATACAATTATGGGCTACCGTATTCATGTTTTATTTATCCATCTTTGTTTTATTGTGAGAATCTTTTAGCGATAACCCTTTCACACGCTGCATAAGCGCAGGTCGGGTATTAAGTGCTAGCAGGAAATGTAAACTAGTAATTCTATCTTACAATGCCTGTGTGAATAATTGTTTAAGGTCGATAGAATTGGTATGGTCGGGGCGGTCACTAATCCGTACATTGCTTGGGAACACAGGCTATTGTATGGATAATGAAGAATAATACCCCCATGCCGGCTCGGTCGATTGCAAGGTAATTATTAATTGCACTTGGATCTATTCATAAAATCATTGTGCATTAAAGGTTTTCAGAAAGGTACGGTTGTGTAACTTTAATGACCAGTTTCTTTGATTATTACTGTCGGATCACCGTTGTACGAAATACTACGTTATTGTATTATTAGATTATATTACCCATATTAGGAAAGAATTAATATAAAAAAGTCAGAGAACATTAATCAATTCGACATTTAATGAACTTTTATGGTTAGTGATGCAATCGTTACGATGTGAAGTTTTGTTACGGATATGTTAATTAAGTCACTGTTTTCTCAGTGTTATTTGATGTTCATTTGATTCGATATGTTCTCGTATTACGGTTAGTATACCAACTACTTATCGTTTTACAAATGAAAAATGCTCTGTTACAGTACTTGGTAGTGATTTAGGATGCTAACGGGACCAACATTAATTGCGAAACGTTTTAATATTAGCCGAGCGAGTCGCGCAACCACGAAGTTTGCAATTTGTGACACAGTCTGATATTCTCCACCGTTAAATTGGACAATTTGTGTAGGCACACGGTGGCTGCGCGCCCGTTGCGCCACGCTCTGCGCACCGTGATATAACTGTTGCGACGATTACGTGACATATGAATATCGTCACACGTACTAATTGCCGCTCGTTACGTTACGGCCTCGCACACGACACGCGTCCCGTTCCTATCGTAACGGCTCCTCCATATATCGCTTATGACATTATCTTGTTAGTCTGATGAGAGAAAATGTGCCCAAGAGCCTGTTTATGGCGTCTTCATTGAATATCAACTGTAATTGATTTTGATAACGGGTTATTATCGTGATATGCGATCTTATCCTATTAGTAACGTAAAAGTAATGGTAAGTAGGTAAGTATCATAATAATTTTACACTTAAGTATACGTTCTCCTGCAGATCTTACAAGGTTTCTTTTTACAAATAAGTAATAGTGAAATAATAAATCTTTTCGTTAGTAAAACATAGCTCTACCTAGGTAGAGCTTAATAAACTGGAAATAAACAAATACTAATTGTAAGTACATTGTTAAAATTAACGATAGTCTAGTCACTAGATTTGTAACGTTCAACCATAAATGTTAACAAGAATTTGACATGAACAATCACACTAAATGCGATTTCAAATGGCAACCAAACGGTCAGCTAGCGGGAGTCGATAATTAGGAATTAGGTAAACAACTTCTAGAAAATGATTATACCGTTATGCATTTGTATTAGTTAATATTGTGGCTGTTTTATGTCATCAATAACTTAGTTAATGTTTTAACATAACCCGTCACATTCACTCACTTTGAGTTCCGTTAGTTTTCAATAAAGTCGGACAATTTGCACGTTCGGGCCTACATGGAGCTTAAACAAAGGCCTTTTAAAATTGCCACAATTGGAGCAAAGATTCCGCTTACGATCGCGGGCAAAGCAGTGCCATAATGGAGTAATAACTGTCTGTTTTACTCCTTCCGCTCTTAACCTCTTTGCTCTATCTTTCCCTAGTCGGATTTTAATGCCGAGTATCGCGGTGATTTGTTTTTGTGTATAAAATCATCTCTACAAATCGTGGTTTCGTTTATGGAGTGGAACCTGGCGTTAGCGTGGAGCTTTAAAGTTATGCGTCGGGAAAGGTCAACGAACGAAGGTTAAATAATAAATAATCAAACAATATAAATTAGCATTTATGTGGAGAGTCGAGCGGAGTATCTAAGCGTCTGGATCTATATACGATACCAGAGCTCCTGTGTTTAGCTTTAGGTGAACAATCTGTGCTTTTGGCGTAGTTGTTTACGAGCTACTGATAGAATCGTTGAAATATGTTTCTGAAGTATTAAAATATTCATTCGACATCATATTTCATTTCTAACTTAATGCAACATTACCTTATAGTTATACCACAAAGTTTTGTAAACCAAAATTTGTTATACTCGTAAGTAGTTTTTTATGTGAATATAGGTCGTCACCGGCAAATGTGTCCAAATTGTCAACACCGCAAGACCGCTCGTAGAGTTGTTTTGTGGTTCGTTAAAGTTAAGAAATCAGCACCGTAAAGTTACTTCTTCCGGTGGATTTTGAAACTCACGATGCTTAATAGATTAATCTCATAGCAGACTGTACAGAAACGGGATCTAATATATTGCAGTTATTCTGTGGGAACGCACTAGGGAGTGGAGTGATACAGTTCAGATTTACATGAGAACCTAATGAATATGTTTATCTTGTATTCTCGATAACATGGTTCTTTTAATAGGCGCATTTCTTTCTTAATTATCATTTCTCTGGTATATTCAATCAGGAGCTGGAGTAATGCCTTCTCAGATTTCGAGAAAGCAACCTGAATCGATGTAGCGGTATAATAAAGTGCAATTTATTTTATTGCTATATTGGGCAGTGCAGCATTCCGCAATGTGATAACTTAGATTGAAGAAGGCTTTGGGCACGTCTCAGATACAATTCAAACTCATAGTGATTGATATGATCATTGAAGCAAAACCATCAAATAATAAAAGGCTTTTTGAACGTGGTTAGCAAAAAATATTTCTGCTGATAGTATTTAGACAATTGTAGACTTTCACGTTTACAAATTATTCATTCTGCTTGATAAAAGACCCAAGTGAAAGCGATATTGCTGTGTAAAAAAGTAAATGAAAATTCGTGTCACTGACTTTCCTATAGCTCTCGCGGTTCGCCGGATCGGTCTTGACCCGCATTCAGCTGAAATCGCAGGCATTAGTGGGCTCAGGTTCAGCTGGCGGTGAGATGTAATCAACGAAAATCCTTAGGCTATAGCTGAAAATCAGTGGTTTGCTTTTAAGTAAACCAATTACTGAGCTATTGCCGTTTTGCATTGCTGCGACACACATTTCTGTATAAAGTGTGTACCTATATTGTATGTCATAATGATTTTTTTTTTCTTTTTATATCTGTCTTACCATACCATGTCATATTGTCCTGAGGGTACTATTTTGTCCTACTTTTGGTACTTTCTGTTTGTAATGTGTGTTTCTGTTATGCAAATAAACGTTTTATCTATCTATCTATCTATCTAATCAACGTAATGATACCATCCGCTTATGATAATTTGACAGAAATGATTTTAAATTGATATTTCAGTTAATTCAGTTTCACTTTTTTCATTATATGTAGTAAGCTTTATTACTTTACACAAATAAGATATTTAAGAAACTATGTTTTAGTTTCTTAAATATTGTAATGTATGTACCTATGTAGTTTGAAATAGTACGACATGATTGAACTTGACTTCAATAAAGTAAGGTTACGATAATCCTAGATTGTGTGAGTTATAAAGTTTCGGCTTGGGTGTAAATGAAGTTTAGTGTAGATAATTATAATTTATTCACATGCCTGCCTGAGTCACTGCCGACTATTTGAATTGCCATATAATAGACTGGTCTACTCCTGATAGATAAATATCTTTGTGTCAGTAGACAGACATCCATAAATGATTTGGAAATCGTTTTCGACTTTTGTTTCTAATTCGATCTGCCTCTAAAATAAATAATGATAACATCATCTGTCCAGATACGATCGCATGTAATGTCATTGTCGTTGACCGGCTTTCGATTTTATTCATTGTAAAATTGACAATGCAGCCGCGAGTGCGAGCTTGAACGGACGTCCTTAGTACTTGCAACTTTCTACGGCAAAGTAGTTTTATTTTAGACGGTACGATCAAGTACGATACCAGCATTGTACTCAACGGGGTGCTGTCAACAATTTATCGCCGGTAGATTTTATCTTATTGTCCTTCGCCATTCATGAATGTTAATAATTTTCAAGAAACGAGAGAACCGATTCGAAAGTTTATAGTGCGGTCATTTATCTTTTATACGCGTAAGAGCATTGATTGTATAAATATAGCACTGGCTGTAAAAGAAGTAGGGCTGCTTTTAAATCTGCGGTTTTGCTGTGTGCGTGTTAGTTATACAAAACTATAAATTATATTTTTATATTTATCCGGACCGGCCTCTACACAACGACTTTTTCTTCTTTTTTATGGAAAAAACTTGGGTACCTAGTCCTACTGTCCAATGTCGATGAAGTTATAAGTCTTTTAAAGGGGTTATGAAAACCACTTACAAAAGTTTTGTAGAGTTTGGTGTATTGATTATATTTTATATGCCTTATGTAATATTGTTTGTTTCAGGTGGTGGATCCGTCGGCATGACTGGCGAGACGCTGCGCTGGGCGCGGCTCGCGTTGCTTCTGTTGCACTCCTCTTTTGCATTCAGTAAGTTTTGTTACCATGCGACTTATTATTTTAATGCCTTTAATCTGTTGTTATTAAACGTGCAATAATAAAATTAATTGATAAAAATTAAATATATTGATAATAATATAAACACAGTGCGATTTTTGAGGTGCAAGTACGTTATTAAGAGAATTGTAAAAGCTTTTAGAGCTAATACAGTAACCTATATTTTGAAAAATACTGAGCAATTTTAACAATCTCTATAATGTCCAAGGTCTTTGTTAGATTCGTTCCGTGGGAAAAAATACTTCGACAGATTACTGTTTACTTAACATTGTTTTACTTACCTACTTCCCTTAATATTTACACATTAACTGTAAAGGCTTCTTCATAATACTAAACGAACATTTTCGTTGCAGGTCGGATCGCCTTCGAGAAGCTCACAGATGTGGACTTCACAGGCACCGCGTACTACACTGTGCGCAACCTGTCACTCTACGAGTGCCAGGGCTGGTGCAGAGAGGAGCCCGACTGCCAAGCTGCCGCGTTTAGGTATGACAATAACAATAATAATTTTGTACGAAAGTTTTATTAATGATAGCTTTGCCTGCAACTTCGTGTCCGTGAAAATAGTTTGAGATCTTTTTCTCATTTTCGCAACATTTTTCGTTGATGCTCTATTGCCCGTAGCGTGATGATATTTGTATAGCTTTGGTATGGCCTAGTCTTCCTCGATAAATGGGCTATCCAACGCATAAAGAATTTGTTAAATTGAACCAGTAGTTCCTGGGATTAGCGTGTTCAACTAAACAAATAAACAAGCTTTTCAGCTTTATATTAGTAAGTATAGATAGATATAATTTTGTATTGAGTATTGATGATAAGTACTATCATTATGTTATTGTGATTCTAATATCAAGCACAACTTTCAATGTGCCAGTTCGTAAATTATTTTCATCCGTTCAGATGGTTTCTAAACGTTTAAAATGTAGGAAAGTGACTGAAAGTGTGAAAGTGAAGCTTTCGTGAGCACATTTGATATGGTCGCACCAGTTCCAAACGTGGAATATTAAGTATTTTAAACATTTTAAAAGATATTAAGCGAGACCAATGTACAGATAAGTATTAGCCATGGGTTTTTAAATATTAACCAGAAATTCACTGAACGAGGTATAGGTACGAGCGAATTTTTTCTCATCGTTCGAGTTGCGATCATCGAGTTTTTAGTATCGATCAACAAATTCCAATCACATTAAAGACTTGAATCGTCATTCTCTGACTGATCACGAAATAAATAAAAATCAACGTGTCGTTACTATCTCCAATCACGATGCTCCTGACCCGAATGTCTTAGATAAGATCGGATTGACGTGAAGATCCACTAATACTCGTACAGCCAAGGTGCAAGGGGCATTAGGGAAATTTGAGCTATAGACGTTTATGGAGCATGTCACGAAAGTGGCTTGTGCGTGAACGAGTTCTGCACGCTTTTGAATAACGAATTTCTTTTATTGATAGCATAATATTATTGTTTTATAACTAATCACGTTTTGTTAAATTTGTAGGCTGAATAGCTCATTATTCTCAGTGGAGCTACAGCTCGTAAGCGTAAGCTATACGCTTTCATCTCACGACTTCAATGTATATAGGATCTAAATCGTGCGCTATCGTTCCTAAACACAGTCCTGATGAATATATATGGCCTGCGCGTAGACATGTTTACTGGCCGGCTGCAGTACATGCATTAGGTGGGCTGATTGTGCTCGAGCCGCTTCGTGTCTTGTTTTGATACTCAACATTGAGCGCACAATGCGAATTGCATCTGGATTGTGGTGGGGCCAGGAATGTGTGTCAGTCTGCCACACGTCCTCCGCTTGTGGGATCCCAATGACACGCTGTTGGTTAATAACAATGTGTCTCTGGCATCGCCGGCCACAGACCGTGTAAAAGCGGAAACCGACCTCGCCGCGCTCCAAATTGGATAACAGTAAAAGTGATCGCATACGTCTTCAATAGATTATTGCCGGCCGTTTTCAAGCACGCCAATAGTTTTCATGACTATTGGCGGTTTGGAACGGATTACTTAATTTATTGTTACTCTAGAGCTATGCACGAGATTAGATTAGTCCCGATGCTTCATAATAGGTTTAGCTTGAGTGCACTTGAGATTACTTACTATAGTTTTGGGAACGTTATTTTCCTACTATCATCAACTTTCTCTACTAGTGTACATTGAAGTCGACAACGCAATCTTTAAAAGAAAATCGTGTACCTATACCTACTACACACGCGTATATAGTATTGCCACAAGTAGGTGAATGCATCGATTATCCGATTGTCTATCTATATGCTAAAATTGTATTTAATTACCGTGTCTAAGTGCAGTATTTTTTGATTACGCCAATTAGTTAAAATCCATAAAGGCAGATTTTATTCTAATACCTAACTTGTTTAATACAATTTTAATGTACAGTTTAATAATAATTTTATAGTTATGCGAAAAAAATAATTGCTTAAAATAGCGTGTAACTGAATAACAATGCTGGTTAGATACATCGAAATCAATTTGAACGGGATCGATCTAAAATCAATTCGGCATTCAATTAAACGAGATGGAACTTTCCCGCGCTTCTAATCTGGCATTGTACTAACACGGTACGTATCTCGAATCAATCTGTCCAGAGAAATGGCGATCTGACAAAAGAATAGGATAGATGCGGTATTAACAATCAGTAACTGTTCACGGTGCCACTGGCTTGCTCGTTTACGGTACAAGGCCACACAACATGAGCTATCTCTTATCTCACCAGATATAAAGTCCAAAACGAAATGATAATGCGCACTACCGATGCGCCGCAATTGACAACCGCTTTGGATACCGCTTCTTCAATGGCATAATTCAATAAAATCGCGCACTAAAATCAGGAGTATCTAACGTGAACGTGACCCTTGCAATCTGATGCTGTCACGAGCGATATCTTGAACAATATTTCACTTTGAAGATGCTTCTAAATTATAACTGGATAGCGGGCTCTTTACGAAAAACAAATTATTAACAATCATGAACGGAAGAGCCCAATTACAGATCTGATTAAACACATAAATACCATTAATATCTGTAGCCGGATGGTAGCAATAAACACGCAAAAATCATGCCGTAAGCTTCCATTGAACAAATAAAATAAAATTGTGATGTAAGTGGTCATTAATACTGCAATCAAAATATTTATGAGTGTTTAGAGAGTGAGATGAAGTGTGGAGATAGTACGCGGGCTACTTAAGCTATTTTCATCGGCATTGGGCGGTGATTGATGCGCGCGCGGCTCAATGCGTCGGCGCAGCGTGGGATGCGTAGACGCAGAAGCTGTAATCTTTTGTTGTCTGAGGGATGTTTTCAATACTGTTATTAATGTTTATTAAGTGTTATTGGCGAAAGTATTTCGATTCAAAGATATATTTGTTATAAAGAGCTTCTGAATAATAAAATTATAGGTTTTCAGGAAAAACAATGTTCTTACATTTTAAGAAAGTTTTCCTAAAAAACCATTTTCCCAAAACTTAGGAATTTCTGTTATTAGATGTTTTGCTCTGCTCTTTGACAGTTAATTCATTGATGTTCATGAAGTTCAGAGTCATGTACTCGTATAGCCTCAATAATTTAATGCTTTGAATGAAACAGGATAGCATTAGAAATTTTATTGTTCGAGGCTCACTGGTGAGCCGCGCTGCATCCAACGTGTTATCTGGTCGTTAAGCAGTGATAATATCCTGGTATAATGTCGCGGTATTATGAAACACACGTCACAGCGCGTTGTCCCAGCTACCAGTTGCACGCCACCATAAATCGCGAGGACGCGTCATCACTCTCGTAATCGACGCCCGCGGCAACCTGACTCTACCTACCTCTCTCTCATACCTGATGCGATCTTGATACGCTTTGATGGGAGGCCGAGCTGGATTGCGGCTATTATTTCCAAAGGAAAGCTAGCCAGCCAGTGAAAAACTATGTGTGCGGATTCCTTTGTGAGACGTAGAATTTATTTCTGAACGACCACCCACTGAAAATAATGATCTAAAGTTTTTGTTACTATGTTGTACACAAAGTACTTACTTGCACAAAGGGCAACACAAACGATTTTAACAAAACGGGCAGCGCAGTTAGATTTCATACTGAGATCCCTGTCATAACGAAAGTTATTTTTAATGAACATAATTTGTCGAATGTATATTCAGTGAAAAAGCACTAACTCTATTTTACGAGCTTTTAACTTCAGGTTTGATGTGCCTATGCTTATTTCAGTCGTTCTATTTATATAATACTGATTTTAATAACACCTTTAATAATATGTGGAGTGCTCTGAATGCATAAATTATAGCTTTCTGATTTCTCGATATCCTGCAGGCCTATGCAATTCTATTGTGCATTGGCGCTGAAATTGCTATCTTTTCACCCATCAGAGTGCTAGGAGCTCACATGCATAGATACGAGTAATGCTAAATGAAATTAAAAAACATTATTTTATGATTCATGTTCTTTATCATGCATACAGCATGTTTCTATGGCGCGGCTTCTTTTTGCAAGATTCATCTGCCTGCTTATTTTTATGAAATTGCTTTTATAATTTTATTATGATGATGTTCGTAGTTATCAGCTTTTTAAAAACATAGAATGTCACTGAGTAACAAGCAAAATGTATATTCTAATTACACAGTTATTATTACTTCATCAAAGTCATTTATGGCAATTTTAAGAGAATGTGATAATATCTTCATCACAAAAATATCTAGGTGATCAATTTGCAATAACAGAAGACGCCTTAAGCAGTCCTAGATATGCATCGCAATATACAAGTAAGTGTTTTGTTGAATGTAAAAAATGCACGCCCGCAGCGATTGTCAGTGCATTTTTACTTTTGTATGATTAATGTATGTTATCAAATCAAGGTCCGCGCCTACCTGATAGTTATCTTTGCTATCCGCAGAGCCACATCGTACGGAAGGAATGCCCATCATTCGTTTAATTACCACTTTAATGACAGAGCACACGTTCAAAGATTTATTATGCCAGTTGTGAAACTAAAACGAAATCCGATGTCATTAGTCTAAGGGCTTCGGAGTAACATTAATCAATTATTTTTTGTAGTTATTTTTGTGTTTACATCTGACTTAACAGCAATTTATATGACCGCGCCTGTAATTTGTCCACGGTTGATATATTGAAATAAATGTAGAACATGAAAAGTATTTAGTTCAAGTATGTTTCGGTACATCTGTGTTAGTTTAAAACTTTTAACGACCTTGCGCATTTTCATCCGGAATTTGAAATTTATTATGTGCCGTATACAGTTTTATGGCAATTCAACAACATCACGATACGAATTATGAGTGAGTTAAGTGTACCGCACTTAAATTGCACGATTTAACGACATTGTAAGAGTGGTTAGTTGAGAAAGCTCTCAGTAGCTTATAAAATTCGAAATATCACAGCAAACGGTACCACGCGCCGTTATGCGCTGCAAGCAAACTGTAACGCAGTGTTCTTGCTCTTGACACTTTGCCGATATAGGCCTATGAATCAATGCTGATTTCATTCATTCGTTTTGTAGATAGATATCATACTTAAGTTCCTACTACTTTGCTATCGTTATTGTTATACTCGTAATAGTGGATTCTCAGTTCTATTGAATTATATTTAGAGGAGGCTGGAGATTTTTTTAAGTAAAATATATTCTTTATTTGTAAAGAAGACAATTTAAATTCATTAGAGCTTTTTCAAAAAGGGGGCAGTTGCAAGTTTTTGAAATATACGAAACCACTGTACAGTACTAGGCGTGTGCACACACTCGTTCATTACTTATTTGGCAACTACGATACTGTATAGAGCATTACCTCACTGCAGCCTCTGAAGGGCATTATAGCGGCATTTACAAAGAAGTGTGCCATCGACTCCATTTCTCTAATACCATAGAACAAGCTCAGAGTTAACACCCTTATCAAGTGCAGTTCCATTGCACCATGATAGATGGCATTCACGCTGGTAAGTATAGGCTTGGGTAGGGACCTGCTTTTATAAGGCACAATTCAAGTTACGATAGTGTTTTTAAGTGCACCCTTTAAAGCTGCTACATTCTTCACTGGGCGCGCGATACCTAAGGCATAATAACTAATTGTATTAACTATTATAAGAATTTTAGATTTGTGGTGGCAAAAAATATTGTTATTTAAACATTGCAAGCATTAGGAATTATATTTAAGTTATTGTAATATCGTTGGTGTTATGTGCATATTTATGTTTTGCTATCTACAAAATGTTTCGGGTTAAAAAAAGGATTCCAGTATGTTTATACTGTACCGTTGCCCGGTAATAATTTGCATAGTTTAGGACTGGTTGTAGCTGTGTAAAATGCTAGTTATTTATATTATTCATTATTTTATAATGTCAGTCTTTAAAATTACTCAAATGGTCTATATTTAAAATATCGAAAGAGATGTAAAATAATATGGCGAGGTGAGGGTAAAAATTATAACTAATCCATGCATAGCCTGTCTGCAGCCGGTTCCTCAACTGTAAGAGGCATCTATGCAATTACATCGCAGGTACATCAGAATGACGCCACTTCAATTAAAAAGCTAGCATAATCATATAGTTCCTTTTGAAGACATCAAACAGGACTTCCTTTAACACACAGGTTGTTTCAGCGTGTATAAATAAAACGCAGGTTTTTCAACTTTTTCTGCATACCTCGTAGTAGTCAACGATCGTGTGGTTTATAGTCTAGATTGCCGATGGAGTATCAGATTTCAATCGCGTATTTATGTGACTATCTTAACCGTATTTTTACGAAGGTACTCGTACTTTATGTTTGAACGTATATTTTTTACATGATAAAGTTTATAAACCCTCAAACAGGTACTCTGTTATTTAGTTGATGTTTACTTACAACATTTAAATACAAACATCGTAACCCAAGTAAATAAGGAACAACAATGGATTCAATGTCAAACAAACAACACGGGACCGTAAACAACTGCTTAGGAGATCAATGTTTTAGAGCTGCCACATCTTATTCGCATACACCCGTTTTGCATCCAGCTAGAACTGTCGTTGAATAATTTACTCGCGTGATTCACGTAATGCTGCATTCGCTGATGCGGTCCCGCTATCGCAGCCGGTAGCCGTCACTTCCCGGTACAGTGAGCCATTTTATGCTCACTTTCTAAGGCCTAAGCGTTTATCAAAAATCTTAGTTGCCAACTAGAGCTCAGTACTGCATTTAAGATGCAAAGCGTTCTATTTAGTTAACTCCGAACGGTGAACTTGAAAACACGCGAATGTTAGGTAAAGGAACACGTATCTAATGATAAGGCCAAGTTAACTCAAGAGGAAAAATCATGTCTATATTACGAGTATTTTAAGTAAATAAAAAATATTTTTATGTAAGTACCTAATTGATTGTTTTTAATTTAATGCATGGTTAACCACTTTAAGGGTTGTGTGAAAGTTATTGTAGTTGGTAGGTATTTTAAATTTTTAGACGGGTCATTTTTCAAAATTGTGATATCTATATATATAAAAGAAAGTCGTGTTAGTTACTTCGCTTATAACTCAAGAACGGCTGAACCGATTTAGCTGAAAATTGTCAGGGAGGTAGTTTAGAGCCAGGAGAAGGACATAGGATACTTTTTATCCCGTTCGAAATTAAAAAAAAAAGTCTGCTTATTTATTGCCATTAAGGCGGAACAAAGTTCGCCGGGTCAGCTAGTTTAATATAAAGTAATGAAATTAGCGGTCATAATTCTTGAGGAAGTAGAATCGTGAAAGAAGATTTTATTTTATATTATGAATTATGATGCACTCACCAATTAATTTAAATTAATAGAGCATGAATATTATGTTTAGAAGTACAAGTAGGTCAGCGGTAATAAACAGATAGCGTGCCACTTACAGCATTCCCCATTATTATTACGTTATATTATATAAATTATTTATGATCCATTTTGTTAGCGATTAACTCACAAAAAATGCAACACCTAGTACGTTTGTTCAGAAGCCCATGTTAAATATAATATACCGTATTGTGCATCATCATGATTAACAGCCGAGAGACTTTAATGCCTATTACGGCGTCCAGTCGAAATAAATTGCGGATAAATTGCAATTATTACCCGGTTTATTGCCTTTTGTGTTGCCGTGACTGCGATCTGTAATGATCTACATCAGTTTCAGTTAACATTACGGGTGGGAAGAGCTAATTATTAAAATAAGTAGTTTTTTTTTAAAAAAAGCATTTGATTCAATTTTGTTTCGCTATTTATGTTGTAACTGTATGCAATGTTATGTTTGTTTGTTTTCTAATAGAGTGTATTTTAATATCCATCCATTTAAAACAGATTCTAAAAAGCACTTAATATCAAACTCATGTTTCCATAAGAACGGACTAGGTAGAGTTTGTGGGACTACTAGTTAAGAGTGTACTACTGTAAATAAAGCAATAAATGTTATTAGTACTTTTCAATAATAAATTATTATGAACCACTTTAAAGTATTATTTTTATTTATTTTATGTAATGAAATATTATCTTGTTGCAGTTTCGTTCTAAACCCACTGACTCCAGTGCAAGAGACCCGCTGCCTGCTGCAGAACGACACGCAGGCCAATAACCCCATGGCTACGCCACAGGTAATAATCATTTTCATTTTAATGCCTTGATTTTTACTTTTCTTTGAAATTGCAAAGGGACCGCGGGATAAGCTACCCTTTTAGTTTAGATATTTTACTCGCAATACGACTTTAAGTCCTGTTTATCAGACATTTAAGAACTATACTGTCAAGTTTTAACGATTAACATTAAAGATTTAATGCCACAATCACTTACATTGAAATGACATGAGTATTAGGTTAATGTCCATTTTCTCTTTATTTGATTGAGGTCAGGCAGTACGTTGCTTTAAATATTTTAAGTCGTGAATAATTCAAAGTTAAATTATTATCAATTATCAAGTAATTTATAAAGTTTTAGTTCCTCCAATAAAATGAAAGTTGTTACGGTAGTTGGAATTCCACATCGATAAATGATTTTAAATATACAAGTATTAAGTACTCGTAAGTATAGTTAAATATTCACATCACATATCAATTTCATGATAAATTGCCTTTGGTTAAAAATTGAACTTTAATTTAACTTGACATGCATTGGCTGTAGAACTGGACTGGGTTAAGAAAATTGTGGGTGAACTGATCCCTGCAACTTCAAAGCTGGTTACAAGTTCTAAACAAAGTTTCTGCCTATGGCCTTTTCAACCAAATAAAGCTCTTTAGAAATGCAAATAAGCACGTGTTAGCGATGCAAGGCGTTGCTTCAGTGAAAGCAAAAGTTTAGAAACCACTTAATTTATGCATAATGGAATTCAAGATTACAGTTACTCACTGTACTGTTTATCGTTTTTGTTGTTTCGGTGTTGTGCGGAATTTACATAATGTTACAGTGTACAGAGCCGTGGAAATGGAGATATTGACAATGTTATAATTAAGTTATAAATAAGGATTAAAACAAATTATTCAGAGTACTTATACCACCTATATTTGTAAGTTCTTATATGTATCTAGATAGGATCAAAGAAGGATTATAATACTTTTGAAATATAACTACTCCCGGAACTTTATTACGGCTTAAATCCCAGAACGCCTCGTTGCCGTGTTCCATTTCTCTCTATTTCTAGATGGAAAATCCATACCGGGCTTATTAATAGTCGAATAAATCTCTCTGCGATCGCGACGGCCAGCCTTCCCCCGATACTGCCAATTAGCCCCAAGATGCTGAGATAGGATTAACAATTCAGATTAAATCGGGCGACCAGTCGCAGGAAATAACTACCGATACACATTGTAACTGTACAGGTGGATCGTGAGATCACCTAATCGCTTTCAGGCCTAACGAACGATTGTACACAAACATTGTTAGGCGGTGCATCGCAAGCGCCCATACATAAAATCTTTGCTAATGATGTTAAAAACAAATCTGCAATAAATGGACTGTATAAGTGGATAGCTTGTACGTGGTAAGCAAGGCGTTAAATTCAGTAATGGAGTAGCCTGAATCAATTAAATCTCCATTGTATACTGCGGCTATGGTCAGTGGTTGCGATCAAAAAGTAAAAAAATAACAATATGTTCATTATACTTTTGCAGTTTTTTGTAGTAGGTCAAACGTTAGAATTAGACTTCATTGTATTTATTTGCGAGTACTTAGCCTTATAAACTATGACCCGTATCTTAACATGACCTGTTTTTTGTTGTACCAGCGCGCTGTGAACACATACTACATGGTGAAGCTACAAGTGCGTACTGAGAGCGTCTGCCTGAGGCCGTGGGCCTTCGAGCGCGTGCCCGGAAAGGCCCTTCGAGGCCTTGACAACGTCATCATCTACACTTCCACCAAGGAGGCCTGCCTTGCTGCGTGTCTTAATGAGGTAACTAATAACTTTTAGGTAAATAGCATTATTGTCTAACTAAGAAGGAGAAATAATGACTCTGTAAAACATATGACGCAGCAGATTCAGGTTGTAAAAGCCACTAAAATTTTCATGGCAAGTTTAATATCATATCAGGTTAAAACTGCATGTAATTATTTACCGTATTTTGCCGTACACATAAAGCACAGTGTGCAAGCACCCGATAAGAGCTCTTGAGAGTAACAGGCTGGCACCGTTGTTAACCAAGAACCATCGCTTTGAGGGAACGTCGCCTCCGCATTGCAATTTACCGTTTATCTATTCAATTTATATTTTATGGTTTCGTCCCAGTTGAGTGGTATTCGAGATATAGGCGAAACGATACGGGCATGTTTATTACGTCCGGATAACATGTTACAGAATATTTTGAAACTAAGTAAACCCTTAGGAAACGTACGATAGCCATCAAACTTCGTTGCTCACCTGTATTAGTGACTATAGCAATACTCGTATATTGTGCATAGAGACATTACGTTCATAGTCTATATTTAAGTATTATCAATATTATCATGTTAAACCGTCATGTTAATTATACTAACCACAGTCGCGGAGTATGTGGTTCCAGTAAAATTATAATTCTAGGCTTTTAATAACGTACATGTCACGAATGCGACTAGTGACCATCTTTATGATAAGAAAATTAGCGGTTATATTTTAAATCGCTTAAAAGAAGACGTTAATAGGTCGCTGATAGTAATTAATGGTTTCAGTCAGCAGCCTAATAAGTCAGTTAAAACCTTAACGACCGAAGGCTCCGCGCAGTTAAATACGTGTGAATTGATCGAGCGGTACTTTGCTCCACAATTTATGTGTATCTTACATACGTGAACGTTTTATTTACAGAATATCACTTCGGTTTCATTGGTTGTGAGATCGAAACCGGTCATTACGCTTATATTTTTTTCATTTTCAACTTGTTAAGTTATTAAGCACAAACGCCGATTGTTAAGTCGAATTATGTTGTATGAGCAGTTGAGTTATTTTAGTCTCATCGAGTTATAACAATTCCAAATCAGGCCAACGTTATTATGATCTAAATCTTGCTAACCTACTTTCGAGGGACAATTGTGGCTTCGGATAAGATTTACGTTTACACTTACACGAATATTGGTTGTTACTGAAATATTTCAGTGCGATTGAGAAACTCTAGTAATTTGTGGCTGAAACACTACAACAGAATTAAATAAATAGTAGATACGACCAGCGCAATTGAGAAACTCTCTACAATTTGTGTCTGAAACACTACAACTGAATTAGATACGAGTAAATAATGGAAATGACGACAGGTGCCTGTACGTCTCGCTTTCCCGATGTAACGGGCGAGCGAGAGATGTTAATGAGTGTCGTGATTGGCAATTTTTTTATGATGCTATACATCCTAAGTAGGTTGTATAGTATAGTTATAAATAAAGTCCTCGGGTGTTTATCTTTCGGTTACTCATAAGAGGTTAATTACTTTACAACCAGAAACGGTTCCCGTGCCGGTCTGCGGAGTACGAGTACGGCAGCATGAGGTGTTCGCTCAGCGACTCTGATAGGCGCACCGCCCAACACATCGTGCAACTGGTCGACACGCCCGGCACTGACTACTTTGAAGTAAGTGTTTTTTATATCCTTACTGCCATTATACATTTACATATTTTGTTCCCTCAATTCCTAAAAAATTTACTATGAACACCATATATTTGTATGTAGACCACATTAAACAATAATAAGTTACGTTGCTTTTTGATTACTAATTCAATATTCGAAATTGTTGCTTAAATAGAATGCGGTACTTACAGCTATAAAATAATGTTAACTAGATGTTTATTACAGTTTAATAAGCGAAAATGAATAAGGAACCACCCGCACGTTGAGGACGGCTAACTGCCACTTTACACAGTATCGTCGTGTAAAGACACAGTATCGCTTCTGAGCAACGCGAACAATTTCAAGTGAAACAATTGTAATTTAGTTGCGGGACGTTTGAGTGGTCGTGTAAATAAACATCTTGGTTGCGTTATTATAGTGGTGGTGTGTTATTTGTCTGATTGTACACGTGTGTGGTCCAGAACTTGTGCCTGAAGGCGGCGCAGGCGTGCAAGGGACACCGTCTGTTCACGGCGCCGCGCGTGGGCGTTGCGGAGGACAAAGTGGCGCAGTACGCCGGTCTACACTACTACACTGACAAGGAATTGCAGGTAATAACTAAACCTCGTTTACCACCTTTTTCTTTATGCCCGTGAAGTGCTGACGATGACGAATAGCGAGTCAGAAAAACGCGAAGCCACTGCACATTTTCTCTCCCGCGCCCGTGAGAACGCTCCTTCAGTGATGTTTTTATCGACATAAATTTTCTTGTTACGTTTTTACATCGAACATTTAGCTATGAATACACGTTGTTTAGGCTTGTTTCTTTCTTAAAATTAAAAAATAGCTTTACCTGTGCTTCACTCCCGTTTAACCTTGATATCAATTCCCTACGCGGGACTGTGTAATGTTGTGGGGAAAACTCCTGGAGATCAAGTAGCACCATTAGGTACCTAGACTTTCAATTTGGGTTAACAGCTCTACAATTTTCTCTTAATTGACTAAAAACAGACATTTCTTCAAATATCCATCAGATTGCAGAGCAAATTGTTTTAATTCACCAGAGAAATTGACAGACGAAAAATTACATGATTTCTCTGAAATATACTTTTTTTTGTCTCGATAATGGGATAAAACATCTTTTTATTCGTGTTTTAGTTTGTTCGTTTAAAGATACGACTTGAATTTTACGATTCCACATCAGAGATGCGATAAATTACGTGTAGATAGATGTGTACCTCAGCAATTAACATTGCAATGAAACCTTTTGTCCCCGTCATGTACGCGGCCCGCGGAGGGCCAAGTGATGACAGCATGTTATTAAACTTGGAAATTGAAAGTTGACTTAAGTAATATTATTTTTATTGTGGGATCACAGTAATTACGCGTTGTGATGGTTCGCTATTTTGATCGACTCATTTGTTCAGCCTTTTAGTTAATACGATTTACTTGCCTCTGGCATTTGTGGCTGTTAATAGAGTGGAAAAACACACAAGCTTTATTTAACTTGGGGTAAAAGATTGATAAAGCGAGATATTATTTTAAGGTTTACAAATCGTTGTTTTGTGAGTCATTGATTTAATTGTTCTATCACTGTCGATGATTTTAAGACTTGGTCTTGCTATAAATAGAATGAACATTTACTGTGTGTGTGAAAGTGGCAATAAAATAAAATGAATAATAAAACAGATTTAGATACATAAACTATCAGTAATGTTCATGAAACATTATGAACGAAAGCTTTATTAGACGGAAATGTCAGTTAAAATTTGCGACTCATTAAGATACGATTCCGCAATCAAAACTTTATTACCAAATGAAAATTAGATGATTAAATGTAAATCATAAACGCAGGTAACTTCCGAGGCCGCATGCAAGTTGGCGTGCGAGATCGAGTCGGAGTTCCTGTGCCGGTCGTTCCTGTACTTGGGAGCACCTCACTCTACCGCATACAACTGTCGACTGTACCACCTGGATCATCACACCCTGCCTGATGGACCATCGGCTTACTTGAACGCGGAGCGACCCCTGATCGACGACGGCGAACCCATCGGAAAGTACTTCGAGAACTTCTGTGAGAGTGAGTACCTTCAATTGTTTTTTTAGTTAAAAAGTGCAGTCCACAACTCGACTTTCAATTGGTTTTTTTTAACAGTCCTTTCTGCAAATCTGCTTAGTTGTAGTTTAGACATTGCTACGCTATTCTACGTTTTGAGTTTTAAAAAATGAATCATGTCAGTTGGGTTCCATGTTATTTCAGTTACGTATTCAATCACATTATTCAGAACAATTTAGGTTAAAATGAAATTAAAGCGGAAACTTTAGTAAGAAGTAATTTCATATCTGAGACGTATGAGTGTTATTAGGCTCTGTATCTATGCTCATAATTCACTCATCTTCAACTAAGCGTTATAAAACCCGGTGTTCTACTCCTTTGCGGTACCGATATCAGAATGTGGCTCTTGAAAATATATCCAGTAGTTGTTCCAATCATTTTCTTGCCTTCGGTGGATTAAAGGCTATCTCGGCGATCCGTTCTCAAGAAACTAGTCTAAGTGCGATATAAAATAGATAAAGCAACTAATCGGTATGTTATAGCTCCTGCGATCTTGTTGTTTTGCTCGTACTTACTTACCTTTTATTATGTTCATATTTTTTGTCTCATAATAATAGTGACTTATATCTCCATAATTTTTTCTGGTAGGTAGGTACTTAATTTTAAAGGGAAACAAAACCTTGTACATGAATTTATTCTTGACAGAAAATTCTCATCATTGCAGAGAAACTAAGCTTGTGAATGCGTAATTTTTATGTGTATCAAAGTTACCTAGCTACAATTTATCTGATTGATGACCACTTTTTATTTCACAATGACATTTCCACAATCCTCAGTAAAAAACGAACAAATCATACTGCAGCACCCTTTAATGCTACATTAATTGGTACAAAAATAGCGCCTGCATTTGCATCAATGCACATTGTTACTAAAGTAGCGTAATGGACGATTCGAATACTACGAGCACAGATAATATAATATAATATAATAATAATATAATACTACGAGTATTACATAGTCGTGACATTAACTTTTTATACTTTAAGTGCGTTATTACAGACAGGCGTTCATTGATAATGGAAAAATAATGCACGGTTTGAATTAAAATCATGTAATAACTTTATAGTGGCCAATAATTATGTGGACAGCGGCGCCAACGTTGCGCTGTAATGTAAGTACCTAAATAGCTTCTATGTAGCCGAGCTAATAATCTTTTACAATCTTGCAAACAAATAAGGCCGACTAACATTGACACCGAGTTATTAATGCTCCTAGTGATGTGCATGTGAAGGTAAGTTACCTTGGATGGCAAATTGACATAATCTTGAACAATGCAGACTCCGTTTTAATAGATTTTTATCATATCTTTCTTGAACCAGCGCTAGCCTCGCTAGGAGTTATGCATCCCAGGGTTTATTGCAATAAATAAATGCATAAAAGTAACGCTATATCATTTATGGCTGGTTTACATACTTACAATCTATTTTGACGTAATGGCTAGCTGCCGTGGTACACATTTTGAAATAACTTGATGATATTGTAAAGTTAATGCGCGGTTGTATCGCTCATTACAATAAGTGAAAAAATTGTAACGTAATGAAAGTAATAGCCATACCTGGACCAATTTTACATCAATACATGGCAATAAGTTGATTACAGACTGCTTTTGTATGACTTTGACTTTTTCTAAGTAGAATTACATTCTTGGTGATAAATAGATATGGCCTACATTGATTTTGGAGTAAGTACCCAGTAAATATGATTTCCTGGTACGATATGATTTACTTGCTTGGATTCTGAGCCTAGTTAAGCGGAATTTATTATTTCATGGCTCGCAGTATACAGCTATTTGCTACAAATACAGTGTGAGTCACGTTAAAGTGTACATATGAAAATAGATGAAACTAGACCTATTTTTATCGACAAAAAAGTGGTCAAAAATTTTTTGAGATTTTTTTTTTATTTTTTACAGAATTTTTTTTCTACCAATTACTTATTGTAAAGAAAACGTAATAACTTTTAAACTAAGCAGTATATCCTGATAAAATAAAAACAGTAATAATGCTAAATAACAGGCGATACTAAAAAAATACATACAATATACAAAAAATGCCAACAAATAATAAAAAATGATACTTTTTGAAAAAAATCTGCTTAAAAATTCGTGTTTTTTTGGTTATTTGATAAATTTCTCCGAAAAATGCCCCTATAACAGGTGGTTTTTATTGTTTTGTATTATTCTCTATTGTATTACCTTTGTAAAACCAAAAATTGCATGTCTCTATCCCTATCACAACATTTGCTATGATCGTTTGAACTAAGCCTCTCCGGGCGCGCCATTCAACGCTTCGTTAAAACAACGAAACTGAAAATGGCTCTAGATTTGTAATTTTGATAAAGACAAGTTAGATTTCAAGTAAAAACAAAAGATTTCGAAGTAAAATAAGCATTTTAGTTAAAATTAAAATTGTCCCTACCTGTAGAGGAGAATAATGTTGTGGTAGGCCTTTGTTCAAAATATCATAGCAAATGTTGTGATAAGGATAGAGACGTGCAATTTTTGGTTTTACAAAGATAATACGATAGAGAATAATACACAACAATAAAAACTACCTGTTATAGGGGCATTTTTTGGAGAAATTTATCAAATAACCAAAAAAACACGAATTTTTAAGCAGATTTATTTCAAAAAGTATCATTTTTTATTACTTGTTGACATTTTTTGTGTATTGTATGTATTTTTTTAGTATTGCCTGTTATTTAGCATTATTTCTGTTTTTATTTTATCAGGATATACCGCTTAGTTTAAAAGTTATTACGTTTTCTTTACAATAAGTAATTGGAAGAAAAAAAATTCTATAAAAAAATAAAAAAAAATCTCAAAAATTTTTTGACCTCTTTTTTGTCGATAAAAATAGGTCTAGTTTCATCTATTTTCATATGTACACTTTAACGTGACTCACACTGTATATTTTATCTTCAGATACCGAAGCGCGCGGTGTATATTTGAAGTGACGGCCACATTACGGAAGGGCCGCGCATGGTGCATTATCGTGTTAGATTTATTACTCATATTTTGCTCAGATACGGTATTAGGATTTTACGGTACTAGGATTATAAAATAGAGCTTAGATATCAAAAGGTGAATTTCACTTAAACATTTTCCCGATTTATTAATGCGGAAAACGGTGATTTAATATTTCATTTTCCATTTTCAGTTGCAAAATTACTATGATATCTAACATCAAGCATTCTTATTTGATTATTGTAAACAATAAGAAGTCGTGTTACAGTTAGCCAAACAAATATGTCTAAGTCTAATCTGGTTCTTTAACTATTACATCGGCTAAATTATTTGCAGCTCGAGGTAAATTAATGCCATCGCTGACTACTAATGACAGACTGATATCGCCGCAATCAGCTCTAGTCGGGGACACCGTGACTACGGGCGCTGCGGCGGCGATCGTTCACCCCTCGTCGACCTAACGACGCACTGCATCGCAAATAAATGCTCTCCACCACTCAGCAGCCAGCATTGTATCCATTTGAATATCCTTAATTTGCGTCGCGTAAATGGTAGCCCTCCATTGTGCTGTCCAGTCCCATCATCATAAATAAAAGCTGCAGCTAAACCATCATTTCCATTGTTATAAAGTCTTATTAATATTGCAAACAGGATGCAAGCAATTAGTATTTTCCACGCGCTAACAAAGGATACGTGAAAGTAATTCGCGTATGTTTTTCTTAGAACAAACCTTTACCCTCAAATGGCGTCGTTCGTATGACTGCTGGGCATGAAAGTGTGCGTATAACGCAGCAAGAATAGAAAATAAGTGTATATTCGTGGTACTCTGCGACTATTACCCTATTTACTGGCGATCTTCCCCTACAGAGCCCCGATATTCTCGGTCAAGATGTATTCACACGATTCGCGGTATACAATCGCACCATAATTCGTGACTGCTATCATGTCTTCTATTTATTGCATTGCATGCTACTCGCGTTATGAATTCATGATGCGTGTAATATGCTTTTTTATTTCTTTCTTAGCGAAATGGATACAGCTCGAACAATGTTGCACGTAATAGTTTTAGACATAATAAAGAGTTATTATAGATTTATTAAGTACTTTTCGAATCGTCGGTCTACGGGAGAGAAACATTTGTTTTGTTGTATTAACATAGAAATTTAATTGCAACTCGTGCTTTTGCTGTACAATTATTCGCAATGCATTGTTTGGGTTCAGGTTTAGTGCACATGCAATTTAATTGAAAGATGAAAATCGCGGGAATAAACTTTATATTGTCGTGACTCTATGTGGAATCCGTGAGTATTCATAAGGGTGTACGCGATTGCATTACAGAACCAGATTGTTTTCATCCGCGCTAGTATGGGATGCATGTCCCAGTAATAAAATGTATGTTGCCTACACGCTAAGGTATTCGAGACAGGACGGATGGCGACGGGCGGGTTAGTCCTAGTACATATTAAATATTTCTTATGGGACTAGCGGACGCCCGCGACTTTCTTCGCGTGAGGTCTATTAGTCCAGATCGATTTGTTGTATCCTTTTAGTATATACCTATACTTTCACGTTTAAAATATTTACCTAGGTAGGTAAATAAGTTTCAAATTACGGTATCTAATTAAAATCTATTGCAACTAGCTAGGTCACTAGTTCATCGCTCGTTGCATCTAAGTAGTAGGCTTAATTGATAATTTACGTAAAGCAATTTACAAAAGCTGTATGTTATATACTGGGCTATAATTAAATCGTTATAACATTATCCATTAACGAGCTCTACTAACACTAGCTTATTGATCTAATTCTCAACGAAAGCTGAGTTGACACCTGATTATGAATGCGCGGTGCTAGATTGTGGGGCGTTTTTGCAAAGCGCGCATCAGCGCGACGCACTGAACAGTTATAAGTGTTAAGCTAAGCCCCTATTTACTTGATAGCACCGCCATACAGCATCATTTGCTAAGCTAATAAACATTACCGCGGCTCAGATGCCAACTGA